CACAAAAAGGGACATTTTTTTTCTTTTTATAAAAAGACTGTCTACTGTAATTTTTTACACTATACTTTTTTTTGTGAATGAGTAGCAGTACCATGTACCCCATACTCATTCACAAGGGGGGGGGCAGGATCTGGGGGCCCCCTTGTTAAAGACCCCAACAACCACAGGCCAGGGTTATGGGCCCTTGTCTCCATCAACATAGGGACAAAGTGCTTTGGGAGGGAGCCCCACTGCCCCAAAGCACCCTCCCATGTTGACAGCATGTGGTCTGCTATGGTTCTGGGAGCTCTCGCTTGTCCCCCCTTTCTTGAAGTGCTGGGTTGCATGCTAGGGTAAGGTTATGGTATAGATTTGGGGGGAGGACCCCATGCCATTTTTTTTTACATTTTGGCCAGACCCAAAGGCTTGGTACGTGTGGTGGGATGCTGTTTTTTTGCTAAATTATTACTCCAGCTGTCAGTGGGGAACCCCGCTGACAGCTGAAACATTACCGCATGTTTTCACTACTAAAATACCACATGAATTAACAAAATAACTCATGTGGTATTTTAAAGAATGGCAAAGTTTTTTTTGAAAAATGCTGTGCGGTATCTTACCGCATATTCAGATGCGTTAAGATACCACATAGTGATTTGTCCCCTGAGTTTGAAGTTCACAGTCGAACTTTCATTAGATTCAAATGTTCGACCACAAACCAAACAGGAGGGGTGTTCAGCCCATCACTAGCATTGACTTATACTTATCAAAAAAATTCAAACTTTTTTTATAACTAAAGTACTCAGCACTTTCAATTTGGGGTAAAATGTAGGCATATCCAGCAATAATCTTTAATTTACTGTTCTGCACATTTCATTTTAGGCAAGAACCTACAAAGGATTGAACAGGTTGACCTAAAGGAATACAGTTGTGTCCAAAATTATTCAACCCCCACTGAATTTGAGTGTTTTGGCCAGTTTTGACATTGCTTTTGATCATTCAGTCATCTTGCTTACATTTACATTAAAGTGAGGCACTTGTAGGTCAGACAAATATAACATAACAGTTATAATGAAATAACCACAAATGTCTTTTCTGTGCTCACAGCATTATCAGTTTTATTCAACCCCCAAGTGACATTCAATCTTAGTACTTAGTACAGCATCCTTTTACAGTTATAAACAGCTTTTAAAACGTGAAGCATAGCTTGACACAAGTGTCTTGCAGCGATCTACGGGTATCTTCGCCCATTCTTCATGGGCAAAGGCCTCCAGTTCAGTCACATTCTTAGGCTTGCGCACTGCAAATGCTTTCTTTAAGTCCCACCAGAGGTTCTCAATCGGATTTAAGTCTGGTGACTGCGATGGCCACTCCAAAATGTTCCAGCCTTTCCTCTGCAAACCATGCTCTAGTGGACTTGGAGGTATGCTTGGGATCATTGTCCTGTTGAAAGGTCCAACGTTTCTCCCCAAGCCTCAGGTGTGTGACGGACTGCATCACGTTTCCATCCAATATCTCCTGGTACTGAAGAGAATTCATGGTACCTTGCACACGCTGAAGCTTCCCTGTACCTGCAGAAGCAAAACAGCCCCAAAGCATGATTGACCCTCCACCATGCTTCACAGTAGGCAAGGTGTTCTTTTCATCATAGGCCTTGTTCTTCCTCCTCCAAACATAGCGTTGATCCATGGGCCCAAAACAGTTCTAAATTTTGTTTCATCAGTCCACAGAACACTATCCCACAACTTTTGTGGTTTGTCCACATGGCTTTTGGCATACTGCAGTCGACTCTTCTTATTCTTTGGAGACAGCAAGGGGGTACGCCTGGGAGTTCTGGCACGGAGGCCTTCATTACGCAGTGTGCGTCTTATTGTCTGGGCTGAAACTTCTGTACCCACATCTGACAAATCTTTTCTCAGTTCCTCAGCAGTCACACGGGGACTTCTCTCCACTCTACGCTTCAGGTAGCGCACAGCAGTCGAAGTCAGCATCTTCTTTCTGCCACGACCAGGTAGCGTTTCAACAGTGCCCTTTGCCTTGAATTTGCGAATGATGCTTCCTAAGGTGTCTCTTGGTATGTTTAACATCTTTGCAATCTTCTTATAGCCATTGCCCTTCCTGTGAAGAGAAATCACCTCTTCTCTTGTCTTCCTGGACCATTCTCTTGCCTTCACCATGTTTGTAACCACACCAGTAAATGTCTAGAAGGAGCTGAGTATCACAGTCATTTTAAAGCTGCCTAATTGGTGCTTATTATGCTTGATTGCTGCTCGGTGACATCCACAGGTGTTTTCAATACCTGATGGAAAGCACCTGTATGAACCTCTGTTCTTCAGAGTGGTAGTCTTTAAGGGGTTGAATAATTGTGGCAATGAAGAAACCACATAAGAACCATTTACTACTGTATTACATAAACAATTGATGTCATTTTAGTTGCATTTGGGTAGTTACAACGTCCTTGTAGGATTTGATTCTGAATACAATTCCAAATGTACACTTATAGTCCTAAACCCCTTTACAGCATTGGGGGTTGAATAATTTTGGACACAACTGTATGGCTGCACTGTTTCGTATAATTTCACTGTGACTATGCAGGGCAGCACATCCTTCTCATAAAGAACTCAATTTCAAGAAATTTCACATTTAAAACTTGTACAGTATGTGTGGGTGAGCAGTTTTAGGAGGAATTTATCAGTGTCCTGAAGTTCATTGTCTGTTATGGTTGAATGGCAGAATGATGACAGACAAGGCCCTGGAGACAGCCCTTCTCTGCTGAATATGACATTTTGAGAGTCACTTGAGTAAGCATTGTTGAGCATCAATATTACCTAGAGCGGGGTCTGAATCTCCTCCTTCTGAGCAACCATGTTGCGTTATTGTACTATAAGGACTATCATATTCTGCAATGTTTGTCAGCGACTGTCTCACAGTATACTACATCTGTTCTTCAACACATGAACAAAATTATAACCAGATGAATAATTTAAAAACATAAATCTGGCAATTTGCCATGAAACATCAAAAATAAAAAGGGTTACTTTTACTGAATTGTCAGTTTAATTCATGAATTAATAAATTCAGTACATGAGTTTCATTTAAATATGCAGTCAAGCAAATTCTCGTACATTCTTTTTTTTCCACAAAATCTCTTGCCATTAATAATCAGGGCTGGAACACATAAGGATATAAAACATACAAAAGTACAAAGTGTTAGCAACCTTTAACTGTTACCATCACTATTCTTTTCAGCTACAGCATTCTTGAAGTAAAATTAAGGGCTTACACGCTTTCTGCTTAAGGGATCTGCCATTTTGTAAGAATATATCTGCGTATAATAGAACTCTAGAAAGTGCTTAAATATATTATGACCTTTATATACAGTAAATTGAACATCTTAAACTATAGTGCTTTGAAGACATTAATTAAATCAGATTTTCTGAAAATGTGTATTTCAAATCTCAAAAGCACAGGAACATTTTTAATGGATCCAAAAACCTTGCCAACGTCACAGTTGCATTTTAACTGCATAAAGCAATATGAAATTAGAAATACCATTACTGAAGAACATTATTTTCAATATAGAAAACCTTCTGTTTTCTTTTAACATTTCTCCAAGTAGTATAAAAAAACTTTCAGCCATAAACAATTATATTTGCATACTTGGACAGAGAATATAAGGATAATCAATTAATTTTCAGGTTCCATACACTACCTAAGCAGGTAGTGAATGGTCTTTATTTGAAAAAATGATGCTGATGTTTGAAAGGAACAATACAGGACTGGAATAAAAAAGGAGGATATACTGTATATGCAATATAGAGCAAAGTGCTGCTATATCCCTAATTTTAGCCAATCCATTCTGTTTACTCTCCCATTGGGAGATGCAGCCAAATAAAGAGAATTTTTTTATATGTAAAATTACAAAAAGCTTTATTGATACAAAGTTTTAATTACAACATGTCCAAAAACACACAAAAGTTTTGGTAGAGTACCCAACTATGATGTGATACATGCTGATAACCCTATATCCCAGGCAGGAAAGTATGTATAATAGATTTTAAAGTAAGATTTCTTAAACAATCATATCCTGCTGAGGAATCCCCAATCTATTTCAATTAACCAAATAAAATGTTCACCATGGGCAAAACAATGGTATCTAAATATAGGGAGAAGATGACAACATGAGAAAACAACCAAATATTATTATTATTCAGAATTTACATAGCTCCAACAGTTTTCCCTGCACTTTACTATATAAAGGGTGACAGTACAGTTAAAATACTAAAAAAAAAACAAGAGAATTAAGATGCAAGAGGGCCCTGCTCATGGAAGCTTACAATCTAATAGGGTGGGGCAAGTGATACAAAAGGTTATAACTGTGGAGGATGAGCTTATGGAAGTGATAAATGTCTAGTTGGAGGCATCATAGGCTTCCCTGAAGAGATACGTTTTCAAGGATTGCCTAAAGGCAGCCAGAGTAGGGGATAGCCAGACAGATTTAGGTAGAACATTTCAGATGAGAGGCTCTGGCATATTCTTGGAGACAAGCAGGGACACAATGTATCTTGTGAGCAGGAGGTCATGGGAGGAACAGAAAGGATGGTTTGGGTAATATTTGGAGACAAGATTAGTGATGTAGCTTGGGGCAGAGTTGTGAATAGCTTTGTTTGTTGTTGTGAGATGGCAGACATTGAGCGGTTGGTAAGGTTGACGATTCTGGCAGCAGCATTCATGAAGATTGAACAGGTGATGGAGAGGTAGGCCTATGAGAAGGGAGTTGCAATAGTCAAGGTGAGAGATAACTAGGGAGTGAATGAGTAGCTTGGTGGTTTCATTAGTTAACCACTTGCCTACAGGGCACTTATACCCCCTTCCTGCCTAGGCCAATTTCCAGCTTTCAGCGCTGTCACATTTTGAATGACAATTGCACGGTCATGCAACACTTTACCCATATGAAATTTTTAGCATTTTTTTTGAGACAGATAGAGCTTCATTTTGGTGGTATTTAATCACCTCTGGGATTTTTATTTTTTCTTAAACAAACCAAAAACCACTGAAAATTTTGAAAAAAAAAAAAAAAAAAGTTTTTCTTAGTTTTTGTTATACAATTTTGTAAATAAGTGATTTTTCTCCTTCACTGATGTGCGCTAATGAGGCTGCAGTGATGGCCACTGATAGGCTGCACTGATGGACACTGATGAGGAGGCACTGGTAGGTTGCACTGATGGGCATTGACAGGCATCACTGATGGGCACTGAAAAGGCAGCACTAATACATGACACTGATATATGGCACTGACTGGCACTGATAGGCGGCACAGACTGGAACTGATAGGCAGCACTGATGCACACTGATAGGCGACACTGGCACTGATAGGTGGCACTGATTGGCAGCACTGACAGGTGGCACTGATTGGCATTGATAGGTGGCACTGACTGGCACTGATGGGTGACATTGAAAGGCAGCTCAGATGGGCACTGATATGTGGCATTGATGTTCACTGGTATGCACTGATATGTGGCATTGATGGGGCACTGATGGGCACTGGCATGTGGCACTGATGAGCACTGACTGCTGGCACTGATGGACACCGACAGGTGGCACTTCTGGGGCCACACTGATCATCAGGGCACACTGATGATCAGTGTACATGTCCCCTCCGCCGAAAGCCGATTACCGGCTCTCCTCTCCTCTCGAGCTGTCAGCTGTCGGCATTTCCGTGTTTACATGTGATCAGCTGTGATTGGACACAGCTGATCACATGACCGAGCCGACATCTTTGGCTATTTCCATGATCCGCTGTGTCCGAGGGACACAGGCACCGGCGATCGCCATGCTGCGCGCTCCCTGAGCCACTCATGCATGGTTAGAATGGAAGGACGTCATATGACGTCCTATCAGAACGAGAGAGAACCACCTTGCACCCGTAATATTACTATATGGTGGGCGGAAGGTGGTTAAAAAGGAGAGAATTCTAGAGATATTACAGAGGTGAAGTCTATAAGCTTTTGACAGCGATTGGATTTGGGGCCAAGGATAGATCAGAGTCAAGGATTACACCTAGTACCCTGGCTTGAAGGGAGGGACTGATAGTTGCAGTATTGATCTTGATGGAAAAGTCATGCAGGAGGACATGAGCGGGAAAATATTATCAGCTCAGTTTTAGAGAGCTTTAGTTTGAGGACATGGTGCGACATCCATGCTGATATGTCAGTTAGTTATGTGAGAGGAGACTGAAGGAGTGAGGAGAGGAGTGGAGGAGGTATTTGAAGCTGTGGGAGGTTATCAGGTGACCAAGAGAGGAGGTGTACATAGAGAAGAGAAGGGGTCCAAGAACAGAGCCTTAGGGGACCCCTACAAGAAAAGGAAGTGGAAAGGAGGAGACAAAGTTATAGGCAACACTGAAGGAGCTCTGTGATAGGTAGGAGGAAAACCAGGAAAGAGCTGACTCTTTGAGACCAAAGCAGTTAAGCTTATTGAGAAGGAGTGGGTGGTCAATAGTATCAAAGACTGCAGAGAATTGGTTTTAGCAGTTAGTAAACAGTTATTGGGTTTTAGTAGGGCAGTTTCCGTGGAGTGCTGCGAGCAAAAGCCAGAGTTGTAAGGGGTCAAGAAGGTTATTTTCAGTGAGGTTGTAGCTAAGACAGTTGTAAACTAAGTATTCTAAAAGTTTAGTGGTGAATAGGAGCAGCAAAATGGGTCTCAAGTTGTTAAGGTTGGTGAGGACCACTGAGGGATTTTTAGGTATGGGAATGATCTGTGCATGCTTTAGGGGGGAGGGAAGGTACCAGTAGATAGGGAGAAATTGAAGATATGAGTGAAAGAGCATAGGACAGAAAAAGAGGGTAACTATAGTAGTTGTGAAGGAACAGGATTCAAGGGACAGTTGGTTAGGTGAGCATCTGAGAAACGTTTGGTGACCTCATCAGTAGTAGTTCAAAAGAGGAAAGTGTTGACTGTGCTGTTAGACCAGGTATGTTAAGTAGGGAAGATGTGTATAGTGGATGTCCCCTCACGTATTGCATCAATCTTGTCTTTGAAGTGATTGTCAATCTCTTGGGCAGTGAGTGAGTTAGTGGATAAAGGGGTGGGGGAAAAGCAGAGAGTTAAAGGTAGCGAAGAGCCGATGAGGACTGGATGAAAATGAAGTAGTTTTTTTATTTGGCAGAATGTAGGCAGGAATTGTATTTTAGGAGGGAAGATTTATATAGGGTGAAGTCCTAAAGGGATTTGGTTTTACGTCACAGTCATTTAAGAGCACAAAAATGTCTCTTGAGATTTCTGGTGTTGTCAGTTTGCCAAGGTTGTAATGGTTCGGGCCTAATTCTTCATGTAGTTAGTGGAGGAAATTAATCCAGTGAGGATGAGAGTGAACTGTTGTAGAAAGAGGTGGCCAGGTTAGGACAGGAAAGGGGAGAAACTTTGTCATATAGGTGATCAGTAGCAGAATATAGAAGAGAAGGGTTAAAGTGGGCAAAGGTTTCTACAAGTAATCATTTGCTGCTTGGAGGGATAGTGGAGTTGGAGACAAGGATACTGTGAAAGTGATGAGGTTGTGATCAGAGAGAGGAAAGAGAGTGTTGGTGAGCATTCCAAGAGTACAGAGATGGGAGAATACTATATCAAGGGTATTACCATTGGAGTGAGTGGAAGTGTGTGTCCATTGTGTTAGGTCAAAAATATAACATGCAATGAACTCCATATTATATATATATATATATATATATATATATATATATATATATATATATATATACAGTATATGCACACACACACACTGCTCAAAAAGAAACAGAGGAACCCTTTGAAAACACATCAGTTCTCAATAAGGAAAAATATTATGCTGGACATCTATACCAATATAGACTGGTTAATGTGTTAGGAACGAAAGGATGCCCCATTGTTTGATGGAAATAAAAAGTATCATACTACATAGGACTGAATTCAAAGATACCCTGAAAATGGAATGGTACTCAGTAGTTTGTATGGCCCTCATGTGCTTGTATGCATGCCTGACAACATCGAGGCATGCTCCTAACGAGATGACGGATGTTGTCCTGGGGTATTACCTTCCAGACCTGGATCAGACCTGGACAAAATAAATTGCAACCTGGCGGCATCAGATGGACCGAAACATGATATCTCAGAGGTGTTCTAATGGATTTAGGTCAGGCGAATGTGGGGCTATTCAGTGGTATCAATACCTTCATCCTCCAGGAACTGCCTGCATACTCTCAGCACATGAGGCTGGGCATTGTCCTGCACCAGGAGGAACCCAGGACCCACTGCACCAGTCTGACAATGGGTCCAAGGATTTCATCCTGATACCTAATGGCAGTCAAGGTGCCATTTTCTAGCTTGTAGAGGTATGTGCGTCCCTTCATGGATATACCTCCCCAGACAATCGCTGACTTATCACCAAAACGGTCATGGTGAACGATGTTACAGGCAGAAGAACATTCTCCATGTCTTCTCCAGACCCTTTCACATCTGTTACATGTGCTCAGGGTGAACCTTCCCTCATTTGTGAAAAGCACAGGGCTCTAGTGGCGGACCTGCCAATTCTGGTGTTCAGTGGCAAATGCCAGTCGAGCTCTATGGTGCCGGACAGTGAGCACAGGGCCCACAAGAGGACGTCGGGCCCTCAGGCCACCCTCATGAAGTCTGTTTCTGATTGGTTTGTCAGAGACATTCACACCAGTGGCCTGCTGGAGGTAATTTTGTAGGGCTCTGGCAGTGCTCATCCTGTTCCTCTTTGCACAAAGGAGCAGATACCGGTCCTGCTGATGGGTTAAGGACCTTCTATGGTCCTGTCCAACTCTCCTAGAGTAACTTTCTGTCTCCGAAATCTCCTCCATGCTCTTGAGACTGTGCTGGGGGAGACACAGCAAACCTTCTGTTTGAAGCTAGACTCCGGAGTTGGACTGCCTGTGCACCTCTGTAGGGTCCAGGTACTCGTGCTACCAGTAGTGACACTGACCCTAGCCAAATGCAAAACTAGTGAAAAACTGTCAAAGAAGATGAGTAGGAAAAAAAATGTCAGTGGCCTCCATCTGTAAAACCATTCCTGTTTTGGGGGTCATCTCATTTTTGCCCATCTAGTACATCTGTTGTTAATTTCATTAACACCAAAGCAGCTGAAACTGATTAACAACCCCTCTGCTACCTAACTGACCAGATCAATATCCCAGGAGTATAACTGACTTGATGCTATACTCTGATTAAAAAGTGTTCCTTTAATTTTTTTGAGCAATATACAGTATATATAAACACATACACACATACGCTCACTTACACATAAAAAGTATCACTGTTTGATGTATACCAGAGCTAATTAAAAACCATATGCTATTAGACTGGACCTGCAGACATTAGTCCACAAGGACTCTTTGCCCCAGGAGCCATTAACAGGGGAACAGTCTATACAAAGGTTTAAGTAATACAAAAAATACAAAAAGTAGGAGACATTTATAAGTGCACCCACATACTAGCTTGGAGATATTAAAAAATATATATATATATATAAAAAAAAAAAATCTTAACCATGATTAAGCAGTAATATCGTAGTATGGGTTGTATGATAGTCTAGGAGAATGTGTGTAACTCCTTGTAAGTCCTTGTGTGAAACGCACTATACAGGACTGGGAAGATTGTGAAATGATGGTGCGCAAGGCTGGGCAGGGCAGAGCTGAGATAGATTGTTCTTTAACAAAAGCGTTGGGTGAGAGGATTAAGGGTCGCAAAGAGTAATGACACTTACCCTTTATTAAGTTATACTTTTTTTGTTCATACTTTCTTTTTCACTGGAACACACTATGGGCCTGGTGTACAAAAAAGTGCTCACACAGTGTTGCATCAATGCACTAATTAATGTGTAGTCTTGCTAAGCATACATTATGGTGTCCAAAAGTACTAGCTAATTTAGCTAGTGTAGCAAAAATGTGATGTCCTCTAATGTTTTGAGGCCATCTCACATCTAGTTTGTATTCACATTTTGTGCAGGAACAATATGCATGAAGTGCGTATGGATACAATTGAAGGTGACTGTAAAAACAACTAAGCACAAAAAAGAACATAGGACATCCTTTGGGCAGCAGTAGCAAAATGATTAGGTCATTCCTGTGCCCTGTTCCTTTTAGCATGTTCATTGCCAGCACATGTGTACTGAAACAGGGTGTGATTGCCTTCTAGATCACAGGAGGCTAATATAAAGACTGATTAGGTATTTATGCAAGTTGCTTTTAACCCCCCGGTCACATCAAGCCCAACTTTGAAACCGAGTGACTTACAGTGAAGTTGCAGGATTTCAAAGTTGGCTAGATGCCGATTTCAGGTGTGATTTGCAAGACATCTGACACAGATATCTATACAAATTGCACCAAAAGTAGTAAATGTACTACTTTAGAAATTGGTGCTGCTCTGACCAAGTCAGAAACCACATCGCTTTGACCGCTCTAATTGCAGACAATATGGTGCGACTTGGCATACTATTTGCAAGTCGCATGGCACGCAAATTGCATGCCAAATCGCACCCGATGTAACCAGGGTGTAAACCTTCAATTTTTATTAACAGTTAAACAATCTCATAAATTATTGTTGTTTTTTTTAATCTTCTGACAAGAGTTTAGTTTGAAAATGCTCCAGATGTGTATAATCTAGTATTAGGTAAACTATGTATTTTGCATTAGGAGTGGCATTATGTTTTAAGCTACACATTTCCCGTTAGCCCAGGTTCACCCCAGTGCAACTTCAGGTGCGATATGCGATTTACAAATTGCACCTGAAGGCTCATCTACTGTACAGTATTTCTTTGGCAGTATTTATTTGGCGATTTGAAGTTCCATGATTTCAAATATAGTTTCGGCACTCATTTTTAAAATTCATTGTGACTGAAGTCTGTGTGGGGGAGATTTACTAAAAATTAAGAGTGCAAAACTGGTACAGCTGTGCAAACTGACCAGCTTCCAGATTTTGTTGTCAAAGTTTAATTGAACAAGCTGAAGTTAGAAGCTAAATGTCTACCATGCACCAGATCCTGAGTGCACCAGTTTGCGCCAATGGAATGTGTACAGCCTTGAGTGGCTGAATATCCTTCTTCAGTGGGCAGTTGGAGGAGCAATAAAACAACCTGTTTTTACTGCCCCCTGGTCTGCCCATGTTAATGAGCCCTAAGGGTGAAAAGGATATTTTACTAATTAGTTTCAGCAGATTGGTGCTCAATACCCTGCACTGTTTTTTCTATGTAAATTATATGGAAGTGTAGCACCCTCCTAGATCACTAGGGGGAGCTAGACTGAAATTGTTAGACAGGGGTCCAAGTGCAACAGTCAGAGGGAGGTTAAATTTGAGTCAGAGTTGAAAGGCTCTGCAGGCAAGCTCTCTGAGACTTTCCCTGCCTTAGAACATTGGAGAAAGTTCTACAAGCAACGGACGGAGGTAAGGAGTGGCTGGTCTGCACTCTTGAGGGATCCTGAACAATCTCGGACAGGAGGCTTGCTTAGTTGCAGGACAGTTCGGATGGAAGGCTGAAGGGCAGGAGCCTGGGAGGGGGGCCCAGATGGGAAAAGGACTCACCTCCAGGCAGGAGCACCTGGGCAGACTGAAAGCTTGGGACTTCACCACCCCCCTGAGAGTGCTACATGTGGGTGCTTGCAATTCTAAAATCTCCTATAGTAACCTGCACTGCTGTTGCCCCTAGCAACCAGCAACCAACAAGCTAGAGAAAGATGCTGCAGCAGTGGAAAGTATCACAGAGCTTGATGGGAAAATGGAGTGTGCTGTACTGTGATTGCGATTGCTACTGTGATTTAAAGGACTGTCGCTATTAATGTCATTGCCCAAAACAACCATGCCACGTTTGTCCAAGAGTCTTTATGCTGCTCCACAGGTGGCCTCTATTAAATATTATGCTCTGTATGTGTCCGCTAATGTTGTAATGAAGAATTTACTGCCATTACTGTCCTCCTTGCCATGGTCTGGAGCCACCGGAACGGGCCATCAGTCTACAGACGTCTCTTTGCTGCTCAACAGGTGGCCCTTTAAAGAGCCATTCTACTTGCTGTAGCCCAGGTCAGCCGTAACGGCTCACCAATGTCTACAAGGAGGTTACAACAAGAGACTCTGCAATGCAATCAGTGTACGTCCGCTCAAGCAGCAGGGGTAAACACCAGTGCAGGGAAGTTCCTGCACGGCAGTCTGGCTGGCGCCAAAATGTCATGAGGAAGGGTGTGGCCATTCCCATATACTGCCCAGTAAACCAACCATGCTGTGGGAGAGCATGAGAGGAGGAAGATGGCGGCTGCACTTCTCATTGGTGTGCGGAGTTTTATGCCAGAGGTCACCCTAGTGCATACCGGGGTGCGCCTGGAGCTTAGCAGCTGCTTTCCCTGGAGATTTTGGAAGGAGAGGAGAGACTCTGTCTGCTGTGTCTTGAATGCAAGTGACCAACTGCCCTGATCTATGTATGGATCAGGTGCGGACACTGTAAGGTGCCATTAACCAGTCTACTGCCCAGTGATCTGGCGCCATGCATGTATACTGCCAACTTGCAAACGGGACTATGTACTGAGCTGCAAGAGTGCCTGAAGGTCAGAGGATGCCTGACTCTGGAATTCAGAAGAGGGGTTGAGTCACGGGACCGCAACTCCCCCTTCACCGTCAACAGACCCCATCATCCAAGGTTGGCCTTCTGTAATCTATGTTCTGCCAGGAGATGCAGATGATGGGTCATCGCCCTCCAGCACTACCCAAGACCAGCCAGCTGATGTTCCAGAGATGCCAGCCTCATCATTCAGCCCTGCACTGAATCTGTCCAGAAGGAGCCAGTGAGTGAGAACAGCTATGCCTCAGGTAAGCCGGTAGAAAGTGCTAGTGATGGGGAGGTAGATTGGGGGTCCCCAAGGATCCTAGCAAAGTTTGGACTACTGGAGTTAGATGAAGAGCAGGAAGACTGGTCCCAAAGGAATCTGAAGAGGAGTGGGATTGGGGGGGACACTAATGAAGACTATGAGTCACTGAGCTCATACACCCCAGAGCCTGATGGATCTTCACACAGGGCTGAGCCTGTTGAGATATCCCCTCAGCCCAGGCCTGAATTTGCTGCACCCTGGCCCAAGACTAAGGCCAAAAACCCTGAATTTAGTAAGCTAGTCCGCAAGGCCCTGAATCCCTGTGTTTTCCCAGGAACAGGAAGCAAGAACAAGCTATCCCAGTTTTCCTGGTTCCAAAGGGCAATACAAAACCAGGTGGCTTTAGAGTGAGGATGGGACTACCCCCTACATTCAACAGGATGTTATGGACATTACTGAGGACTCCAGACAGGAATGGGAGGACGACCTTGTTTGGGATTATCTCCATGTCCCTAAACCTTTGAGGGGTCTTTACCTTACTGAGGCCTGAGGCTGGTTCTTGGAAATCAAGTAAGAGTGGAACAGAGGCCAGGACATCTAAGGACAGGAGTGGCAGTCATGAAGGCAGGGAGGCCTAAAGTGACCTACTACGTTTCTGCCCACACGACTGATGGTTCTGTTGTGAGACTGCCTAGCCCCAAGCAAAACTACTAGATAGATGCAGGATTTCCATCTCAGTAGGTCTTGTTTTTCAAATTTCATGCAGACTAAGCCACGTTTCAATTCCATTATCCCAGTTGGATTGATCTGGAAACATCTCAGAAAGACCGCTTAGTCTTGATTATTTTCTTTTCAGGAGGGGCTCCTCCCCCAAATAAACGTTGTCATACTTTATTGTGAGGTTAGCTGGCTAGTGATAGGACTGCAAATTTTGTGTGTTTTTATTTATTGTCCTGCAGGTTCCAGGGATGGCTGTCTCCCTGCTACAGTACGGAAGGAAACCTCTTCATACCATGAAGGATTTTACTTGAGTGGGAGGTACTTAATATCTTTGATTTAACATTTGTATACATGTTACTGTTGCTTATTGTTAGCAGCAGTTAGCTAGCATCAGAAATTGTACATAATTTTGTATAGTACAAAATAATGTTATTTTTGTATTTATTTTGAATATATGTTTTTCCCCTTTTCCTAGATTGCATCCTCTTCCCCCCCTCTTTTTTTCTGAATGGGATGCCCTACTCCTGGAGTAATTTTTGATTTTTCTTGTCCCCCAGCCAAACATGGCTGTTTTCAGCAGGGGGGGGGTGAATGTAGCACCCTCCTAGGTAGCTAGGGGTGCTTGATTCAAATTGTTACACAGGGGCTGAGTAGCAGCCCAGGTGCAACAGTCAGAGGGAGGTTAAATTCAGGTAAGAGCTGAGAAGCTGTGCTGGTCAGCTCTCTCAGACTTTCCCCTGCCCTAGAACTTTATATAAAGTTCTAGAAGCAGTGGGCGGAGATAAGGAGTGGCTGATCTGCACTCTCGAGGGATCCTGACCAATCCCCAAAAGGAGGCTTGGTATTGGGTTGGGACTGCCCTTAACCACCTCCCGCCCGCCATATAGTAATATGACGGGCGCAAGGTGGTTCTCTCATTCTGGGAGGACATCATATGACGTCCTCCCATTCTCACTGCGCATTCACGGCTCAGGGAGCGCACGGCAATCGGCGGTGCGCTGAGTCCCTCGGACACAGCGGATCACCAATCACGGAAAGAGCCGAAGATGTTGGCTCGGTCATGTGATCAGCTGTGTCCAATCACAGCCGATCACATGTAAACACGGAAATGCCGGTTATCTGCATTTCTCTCCTCTCGAGCTGTCACCCTGACAGCTCGAAAGGAGAGGAGAACCGATAATCGGCTTTCCGCGGAGGGGACATGTACACTGATGATCAGTGTAGCCCCAGCAGTGCCACCTGGCAGTGTCCATCAGTGCCTTATGTCAGTGCCTCGTGCCAGTGCCCATCAGTGCCACATCAATGCCACATATCAGTGCCCATCTGAGCTGCCTTGCAGTGTCGCCCATCAGTGCCAGTCAGTGCCTCCTAACAGTGCCAGTCAGTGCTGCCTATCAGTGCCATGTATCAGTGCTGCCTTTCAGTGCCCATCAGTGATGCCTGTTAATGCCCATCAGTGCCACCTACCAGTGCCTCCTCATCAGTGCCCATCAGTGCCACCTATCAGTGCCCATCAGTGCTGCCTCATTAGCGCACATCAGTGCAGCCTCATTAGCGCACATCAGTGAAGGAGAAAAATCACTTATTTACAAAATTTTATAACAAAAACTAAGAAAAACATACATTTTTTTTTTTTTTTCAAAATTTTCAGTGGTTTTTGGTTTAAGAAAAAATAAATAACCCAGAGGTTATTAAATACCACCAAAATAAAGCTCTGTCACAAAAAAAATGATAAACATTTCATATGGGTACAGTGTTGTTTGACCGCGCAATTGTCAAAGTGCGACAGCGCTGAAAGCTGGAAATTGGCCTGGGCAGGAAGGGGGTATAAGTGTCCTGTAGGCTTGCGGTTAAAAATGACAGAGCCTGCTCAGCTTCAGGAGAGTTCGGGTGACTACAGGATTCTTATTTATATGTAGCAATGCTAAATTTAGCAGTAGGGCTAAAAAAAAAAAAGGCATTTAGGCATTTTAACCATAACGATCTAATTGGCAGATTTGTCTTTTAAATTCTGCAGAAATGTAGATTAATAACAATTTTATTGTTTACTAAATGTAAAACTTCTCTTTTTGAACCAGGATTATTGAATATTAGGTAACAAATACAGTGACATACAGTATGTGAGGATGTGAGAAACATCCATTAGTACAGGCACACAGTTGGAAAAAGCTTTACTTGAATTCATGTAGTACCTGTTTGCTTGAACTGAATATTTTTCTGCTTCTTCCTTCTTGTAGCTGAGGAATTTAGAAGTTTAGTAAATTTGCATTCAATGGCATTTTTGTTACTGATTTATTGTCAGCCAAGACACATTGCTAATAAGATGTGTCCAAGCTGACAATAAATCAGTTAACAACAAAGCAAGTAAATGTGCGTTCACTGAGCCTCCAACATCCATGGCTAAGGAAGCAGACTAGCAGTTCCACAGCCCTCAGCTACTGACATGCCCAAGTTACAAGCTACAAATAGGAACCTCATTCCCTTAATCTGCTTTATTTATCAAAGATTCACTGGGCAATTCTCCTAGTAAATATTCACCCAAACATTTGTTCCAAGACTCCACAAGATATTCCCATAATTTTCTGTGGCCATTTACTCTATTATGCAGGTAGCTGATGAGGGCGGACTGACCATTTGGAAACTCGGGCACTGCCTGAGGGCCCGGGGTCAGTAGGGGGCCCCATGAGATGCCCCTGCTGGTACCTTTTTCATAGGCTTTTTTGAGTTTGGGCAAGGATACAGGGGCCCCATGATCCCCTATTGCCTGGGGGCCCTATGAGTTGTCAGTCCACCTCTGGTTGAAGCCAGACTGTCAGGCAAGTGTCAAAGTCAAAGAAGCAAAACTGTATACTGCAAAGGTGTCACAGATAATTGCAGCTGACTTAGTACTTCTAGTTTCCCAAGAAACCAGCTGCATGGCTGTTCTAATTTAAATAATAAGGTTAATTTACTGAAGGAAATAGACTGGGCACTTTGCAAGTGCAGTTGCTCTAGAGCTTAGTAAATGAGCAGAAGCTTTGCTGAGATCCATCATCCAATCATGTGCAAGCAAAAATGCAGTTTTTTTTTAATTTTCCATGTACGTGAGTGGGTATTATTTGCAAAGTGAAACTTTACCTCATTTACAAAACTCTGGAGCAACTGTGCTTTGCAAAGTGTACAGTCTCTTTGCGTTTAGTAAATCAACACCAATGTCTCCATACGTTGGATCTCCTCACAGCCAGTCAGTTCACTTACTTCTGCTAATATTTACCAAAAAATACCTAAAATCAGCTGGCATTGAATAACCTAAGCACATAAAAACATCTGAAACATGCAGGCACATCTTATCCCTCAAATATCCAGAATTTTAATCGTATATACTGTAAATAAATGAAACAGAGCACACGGACAATATAGATAATGCTGGTATTAGCAATCTGATGAAAAAGTTAATGATGTCACTCAGGTAGATTTACTTTTATTAAATACAATTCTCAGATACACAATTCCTTTCATGGAGATGAACAACTCTGTTATTCCCTTCTCCTATGCAAAATCAAAACTCTACTAAACAAGCCATATCATATAGTCATAACTGCCCTGGCGCTTCCAACCCCCTGATGAAGAAGGGTCCTAGACTTTTAAACATGTTGGGTTTTTGGTGGGAGCATGTGCAAAGGGAACATCTACATTCGGTTATTTGTCAAAAAAGGGGGAGTAGAACGAGCGCTGGATCCAAATGGTATAGCCGCTAGCATAAAAAGGCAAACCTCAAACAGCCTCCTGGTGAAAAGCTAAATAGATAAAGTATGCAGCGTTAAAATGAAATATAACAATAAAATAATATATTAAAATCCAATGTGAGATATACACAGCTGAAATGAATGGATTGGTATGGAAGCCAATACTATAAATTATACTGCAGTATCATAAATCAGATCAAGGTGCATAAAGTGACAAAGGTGCCAAAGTCAATAAATCCATGGACATATCCAAGTGACATGGGAAATCCGTGACATCAGTGGTATATAATATGGCTATTGATTGCACTAACCAGATAGCGCAAAATATAGCGCTTTGGAGTAAAATTACCTACTCCTGGTCACTGTATCAGAGACACTGCCAAACGGGTGGTCATCAGTACAGCAACCTCCGGATCCTCTGTATTGTCTCCAGGTGTACCATCGCCAGCCACCAGGGGGAAATGTGCCTCTCCCACGTATCACAGGGTAACATTACATCACAGTAATATGGATATTTTTGAATACAGATCCAAGAGATCTGCTATATCTGAAGATGTATTCACCCATGAAAGAGAACCCAACAACCTTCATGGACTGTTTGTCCATTTATCCAACCACATCACATCCGAGATTCGCACTTTATGGGATATCTCTTTCCTGGAAAAATACATTAAAGAGGGTATGGTACCGAGATCCCTTAGGTGGGACGTACCACCCGAAACAGGGGACACCAACAGCGAAGCAGATTGGTATCTATTTTTTAACAATAAGAGTTTAGAGTTACTCAAATTCCTGATTCTTAGGAAAAAGCTTAAACTCACCCATTTGGATAAAGAAATTAATAAAACTAAGGAAATATTTATCCCTTTCATGGATCAAGAAGAATATAAACAGGAATCAGATAAACTGAAGTAACTTGTAGAAAAAACTGAAAAAGAACAGAGAAACAAAAAGACGAAGAAATTCATTAGGGATTGTAATGCTTACAAAGATAAGTGCGTTTTCAGATGGGAGGCTAAGAAATATGATTTTGTCACTGCCACCAATACAGAGACTATCTCTACACATCCACCCGTACATAACACGGCTAAAGGAAACTTACAAAGAAAAGGACACCAACCTTTGCATACCCCTACAGATAGATCTAGGAAATTTTCCTATACCACACCGAAACGGGAGTACAACATTCCCACACACAATAGATTTGAGACACTAGATCAAAAACATAGCTCCTATGTGGAGGATAGAAATCATTATCCACCATCCACATATAGACAACCTTATAGGAATTACACATACAGGCAGGATCACTACAAATCTCAGAGACCACAATACAGACGCAGATCACCATCCAGAAATCGAGGATGGAGGGGCCCTGAGGAGCGTAAAGATTTCTCTGATCGACATTCTGACAACCGTCCATATGGCACCCAGAACAGACAATACTACCAAACACCTTCCAGAAATAGACACTGGAACAACACACAGCATTATGATAACAGACATCCACTATATTTCAACTATCGGAATTACAGTGATCCCCATAATCACAATTACTCACCTAGATTCCAACAACAGGATACACCCAATCCTTTTTTAGGGAGAGGCACAGGCAAAAAGCGAAACATAAGACAAGAGGAAGACGAGCAGGAAAAGTATATAGTATCTTAAATGACACTGACACCTATGCGGAACTACCAACTAATCCTCTTATTCCATATAAGAAATTATTAAAAGCAATACTTAAAACAGGGTTTGACTCGGGGATTATAAATAAAAAAGAAAAGGATTACCTCTGCCCCACTGTCCCCAAGTTGCCAGTTATATATTGCTTACCAAAAGTTCACAAAAATCCCCTGAACCCCCCAGGCCGTCCAATTATCTGTGGTATAGGTTCCCTATGCTCCCGTGTGAGAAAATATATTGATTTTTTTCTCCAACCCCTGGTTTGCGGCATTCCATCTTTTCTTAAAGACACGAAACAGGTATTGATTGACATTAGAGGGGTTACCCTCAGACAACCTACCTTCTTAGTCACGGCTGACGTTGCTGCCCTATACAGCAATATCAAACACACAGATGGGTTAGCTGCTGCAGAATATTATCTAAACACAGCTAAGGATATACCGGATTTACAAAAAACCTTTATATTGGAACTCCTTGATTTTGCCATGAACCATAATTATTTTTGGTTCAGTAATAAATACTATCTGCAAACCACCGGTGTTGCCATGGGCGCTAAGTTTGCACCTAGTTTGGCTAACCTCTTCATGGTGTGGTGGGAGGAGGATCTAATACTGTATATTCCAGAGACTGGCCGTAATTGCTCTTTTACCGTCGATATATCGACGATATCCTGCTCTTATGGGAAGGGGATGAGTTTACATTGAATAATTTCTTTACTACTCTTAATTATAACAATATTAATATTAAACTCACCTTCCAACACAGTCAACAAGAAATTAACTTTCTAGACCTAACACTATATAGCGATGGCCTAAGAATCTCATCTAGAAGTTACTTCAAAACAACTGATCGAAACAGCCTAATTCCCAATTCACCACCCTAAATGGTTGAACAACATCCCTAGAAGACAGTTTTTTCGCATTTACTTAAGAGTATTTATTTAAGAGTTTTAGAACCACCATTTATTAGTTTTTAGCCTTTTTTTTTTTTCTAAATCCCTTCTAACATTCTGCTTAAACTTTGTGATTTGTATTAGTACTGTTTGGACTTTGAAGAAGGGGACATACCCCGAAAGCTTGTCCTCAAAATTGTATGTTGTAAAAAAAGTATCACGGACAGTACTCAATTGTTTCTTTCGCATTTACAGAAACTGTGATAAGAAAGAGGATTATGTCCTTCAGTCAGAGATTCTTAAACAGAGGTTTGTAGAAAAAGAATATGATGCTAATATCCTTGATGCCGAGATGAACTCAGTGGGTAATACTAATAGAGCCAACCTCCTTACTGACAAGCAAAGAACCCTAAATGAAAAATACTGTCCCTTTATCACCAAGTTTTACACTCAATATAGGGACATAGCCAAGATCATCAAGAAAAATTGGATTATTCTTAAAAATGACACCATCTTAAGGAGACACCTACCTGATATTCCCAAAATCACTTATCGCAAGGCACCCTCTCTGAGAAACAAACTGGCTCCGAATATAGTCAATCCACCCAAGCAGATATCATTCTTTTTCAACCGCAAAGGATTCTTTCCATGTAATAGGTGCATGTTATGCACCTATAATGGCATCCATAAAAACCCAGTAAAAACCTTTTGTTCCAATATAACAGGTAGAACATACAACATCCAGTCCACCATCACTTGTAACAGCACACATGTAGTGTACTTGTTGGAATGCTCATGTGGCAAACAGTACGTTGGCAGAACAACTAGAAGACTCCGAGACAGATTACGGGAACATTTGAAGAATATTAAAAAAGGGTTTAGAGAGCATCCTCTTTCTATGCATTTTCGCCAAACACATAATAGTAACCCACACTCCTTGAAATTTACTGGCATTGATATGATACAAAAACACTGGAGAGGAACACATAAGCGAAGATCAGTTTCGAAGTTAGAAACCAAATGGATTTTCCTATTAAGAACACTTTCCCCACAAGGGTTAAACATTGATTTGGACATCAATTGTTTTTTTAGATACTAGTTAAATCTTTTGGTCCTCCCATCAATTTGGGTGATACCCTATACTGGCAACTGGCGATCCTCCAAGACAGTATTATCAGATACTATTATATATCATATCCATTGAGGTTTGGCATTATTCTACCATACATCATGTTTACATTATAGCCAATTGTGATGGCACTTGCCAGATAGCTGAAAATAATATTTCAATTAAGGTGGCACTGACACATCCCCTTTATATGTATATTCTGGTCTTAATGTCTTTTCCAATATTTTTACTTGCTTAGAGGTGACGGTTTT